GGCAGGAGGGGATCTGCAGCACCAGCCCCCCCCCGCCCCCCCTTTCTCCTCCCCCTGGAGGGTGAAGGATTGTGGAGCAGCAGTGGGGGGGAGGGGATCTGCAGCACCAGCCCCCCCCCTTTCTACTACCTCCCCCTGCTGCGGGTGCAGCAGTGGGGGGGAGGGGATCTGCAGCACCGACCCCCCCCGTCCCCCTGCTGCGGATGCGGCAGTGTGGGGAGAGATCTGCAGCACCAGCCCCCCCGCCCCCCCCCCCCCCCCCCTTCTCCTCCTCCCTTCCCTGCTGCGGGTGCAGCAGTGGTGGGAGGGGACCTGCAGCACCAGCCCCCCCTGCCCCCCCCCCCCCCTTCTCCTCCATCCCCCTGCTCCAGGTGCAGCAGTGGGGGGATGGTATGGGGGTGGCGGGTGTGGGTGACCTGCTGCCGGCCTCTCCTCCTCTCTCTCCCACTGCTGCACATGTTGCTGTGTAGGGGGGTGGGGTGGGAGGAGCGAGGTGTAGGGGGGATGAGAGCGGTTAAGGGGGGGACGACAGAGTGTGGTGGACGAAGCAGCCCCCCCCCCCTCATCTGCAACTGCCACCCTCTGCTCCCGTGGTACCTCCAGCTGCAGCCCCGGTCGCCACTTTGCTTGTCTTGACTTTTTGTTACTGTTGTGCGGCAGGTGCTGCCGTTGAGCCCAGCTGTGCCGCCACCGCTTGTGCCGCACGCTCCTGCTCTCCAGGCGGCCTGCCGCCACATGCACCTACTGCTGCTATGCCGCCGCCCTTGCCGCCGCACGCTCCTGTTTCTGCTGCTTCTACCTTGGCTGCGGGGTTGCTGCAACTGTATCTGCCACTATTGCATTGGTTGTCACTGCTCTTGCGTGCTGCTACTTTGTCCTGCTTGGTGTACCCCTGCAGGTTGTGTCTAGCACTTGGCTCTTCCTGCATGCAGTTAAGGGGGTATGTCCGAATTATATTATAACTGCATGTAGTTCTAGCCTTAGTGTAGTTCTCCTAACTTCCTGCTTGGTGGTGTACCACCTTTCCTACCCTATTTGTACTCAACTTTCCATAGTGAAACCACTTCTCCTTCTCAACTCTCTCGATACTCCATGCCTAGCTTCCACACCCTAGCCATGGCTCCCAAGCTTGCTCACTCCCTACTAAGCTACGGATTCTAATACAAGTCTGATATGAGGTTTCCTGATATGAGGCGTATCAACACACCCTGAGCTGTTCCATTATCTGATTCGTTCTCTCCATTTGACTGTCGTGTTGTACGCACGTCCGTTTGAGTGCATGTCATCCTAACGTCCTGCCGTGTGCTCGCCGCGATTCATGCTTGCATTATTTGCATGAGCATACATAATTATGCATGGCTGTTGGATTTTATCACCTCTGTGTTTTTTCTTCAAGTCTAAATGTTTGATCACGCAGGAGAAATCCAGAGCTTTCCAACGATACCAAGATCGCCTTATTCCGACCAAGATCGCCCAAGTTACAATATTTCCAAGATTTGGGAATTCTATCTGAATCTGGGAGAATATATAAAACGGGTGATTATTGGACATGATTATAAAAGGATCTATAGTTGGTGGTTAGGAAGGCAACTTTGACTTTTGGATTGGGGTGGCTAGAAGTTTCTAGACTGGTTGCAAATGTTGCCACACCTAGGCAAAATCCAATTGGATTTGGATTTTGCATGTGACAACTCAAGGACCTCATGTTGGGGGTTGCATCTTTGATGCTAGGAAGGTTCCTACTATCCTTCCCTAGCATTTGGAGAGCCCTCCCCTCACAAGGTTCTCTTGAGACCCCCAACTCCTATCATGCTTGGCCCAATGTTTGTTCTTCCTCCATCAATTCAAGTGAAAGCAGTAGCTATACGTTTTCAGCTCGTTCTCACTTCCTAGACCACCCTTTGACGTGATTCAGCTTCGAGGTGGTAGCTAAGACCAGCGCGCAATAATATCGAACAGATTTGCGTTTAGTTGAGCTTTGAGGTCGTCGTAAGTCTTCAAAGCGACGGATCCTGAGCAACAAGTGGTATCAGAGCTGGTGGTGGACTTTGAGGCGACGAATCGTCATCTAATCACAACCAATTTTGACGAGTGAGATATTTTTATTGTATCTCTGCTCACGATCGTTTGATTGGTGGTCGAATCGCATCAGAGTTCGAAGTGTCCTAATGGTGACGGCGATTTTCGTAAAAGCGAAATTTCTGGCAGAATCCTGTCCAAGCGTTTTTTTCCAAGATTCCACAGTGCCTAAGGCCTCTTGATGGCTGAGACGGACTCCAGAGGTGCTAATGATGAGTTGGCTGGGAGTGGAGAGGCTGGAGAGCAAGGAGAGTAGTTGGTGGTGGAGCGGGAACTCACCAACCAATTACCCCTGTGCTACCCTCTTCCACTACACCATCTCCTATATCTATGGATCCTATGAAAGTCTAATATACTGAGAAGTTCATGGGGGAGGATTTTGAGCACCGGAGCTTTCGTATCAGGCTCATGTTTACCCAATACAAGTTATTGGATGTGGTGGAAGGAAAAGAAAGGATGCGAGAGGCCATGGAATTGAAAGGAGCATGGATAAAGCCCTCATTTGATGCGTACATGCTTATGGTCCAAGCGGTTGGTGGACGCCAAGTTGACCATATCAAAGGCCTATTGGGTGATCCCGAATGTGGACCCAAGGCATGGGGGAAAATCCTTGATGTGTACTCACCAACACATGCTACGGCATTGTGCTACTCGCGCGGCGATTGCGCAGAATAAAAATTATTGATGGAGAGCCAATGCAGCCCGCGTTGGATGAGATGCCGAGACATCTTCACAAAGCTCCAGAGTGGTGGCGTTATCTACCATGAGCTTGTTCAATGTGTCGAGATTGTGATCCGACTTCCCGAGTCGTGGTCTGCCCTAGCCATAAACCTCAACTCACAGCAATCCCAATGGAGTGTGGACTACATTCGTGCGCGAATCCTTGAGAGGATTTGAGGCGCCAAAGTGTAGAGAACTCAGGGGATGGTGCTTGTTATGGAGTTGGAGGTGGAAAGAGTGGCTTCAAGAAGAAATGGAAGGGCAAAAGAATGAGAACTCCCAAGAAGAGAGTGGCGGGTGCCCAAGATGAGGTGTGCTTCTGTTGCAAGAAGCGCGGCCATCGTTGGAGAAAATGCTACCAACAGCCCGAGATTAGACCCCGCCTTCCTCAAGCAACCAGCATGGTGACAAGAGGAGTGGGGAGTCATGAGAGCTAGTGGAGAGGAGAAGGATGACAAGAAAGGTGGCATACATGAAGAGCGGAAGGCTGGGTTCTTCTTCTTTGTGAATGAAGGATTGACCAGCCCTGCTATGGCCGCTAAGGTTCTCCTTTATCCCCTCACCCATTGGGTGATTGACTCTGGGATCTCATGGCACATGACTCGTGCGGATCTTCTTGATGAGATCCAGCCAGCACCGATCTCTACAGTTACATACGCGACAGGCGCCAAGGCCAAAGTCATGGGCATGGGATGCGCCAAGTTCGTGGGAGCGGATGGTGAGCTTGTGGGATTAAAGAATGTGCTATGGGTTGCCAGACTTGTGCGTGAACCTGATTTCGACTGGCCGATTGGGAGATGCAGGTGTGAACACCGAGACGATTGGCTCGGAGCGATATCGTGCATACAACGATACGCGCCTTATTTGGGACATGCAACGCAAGGGAGATATCCACAAGCGCATGTGGCAGGGTCGTCCCTTGGCACAAGTCCGAGGGGACTGGGGGAGCAGTGTACTTCCTCACCATGGTGGACGAATGGAGCCGATTCACATGGGCTCTGTTGGTTTAAGGGCCTAATAACTCAGGCTATTAAGACATTATCCAACTTAAAACCTCTCCTCGGGGTCACCTCCAAGGGTCTCTGGGTGCTTGGTACAGGACCAGCTCCTATCCTCGGGTCCGAGTTTGTAGAGAGAGGGATCAAGAGGGACTTAGTCAAAACAGCAAGAGTGCCTTGAACGTCGCGCAGCGTGCCGTGCAGACCGTCGATCAGATTAAGCTGAGAACTCGCTATATCGAAGCTCACTCTAAGAGCTTTCAAAAGGGGCAAGCTGCCTCGCGAAAAGTTCTGCCATTGCAGAGTTATGGCTTAGACAGCGTTTGCCTAGCGTTGGAGTGCTAGCGTACTAGCGTTGACTCGGTAGCATTCTGCCGTCGAACCACGTGGATACGAAATTCCAGCAAGGAAGGAATTCGCTTGATTCAATTTGACTATATTCAGGTACAAACAGAGAAGGAATATATAGTTATAGCTAGCAAGGACCTTGGGAATCGACCTGGGAACAACCAGGGATGATCCCAAATAATTCCAAGCAACAGAACCAACCTGGCTGGACAAAACAGCAGGTGGTAGGTTGGTAAACAACCTCTGGTTCTGTTTTTTCCAACCTGGGAAAACAACAACCAGGTTCAGGTCCTAAAAACAGAACCTGTTTTGTCTTTGCCCAACCAGCCAAATGCTGGTTCCGCTGGTTTCCCCTGGCCCTGTAGCATGCAGATACAGACAAACAACATCCAACCTTCACCTAAATTGTACCCCTATAGTGCCTGCCCTGCTACACTATAGTCAACCAAACAAAACAGTACAATTTCGAGTTGGATATAACTGAATCTGCGCAATCAATTCAACCGAACTGCAAAGCTTCCATCTTGGGAACCTTTGCGAGCTCGTCCTTTCTGCTTGCACTGTTCATAGCGCATACAATGTTGTGCCGAAGCGCACAGTGTGAGAGAATTGAAGAATGAATGATCACTAGCAAACATTGGGATACATATAGCAAACCCTAACAGGGCTGTACTCACTACAGATTACCCCAGTGCAGACTAGAGAAACATAATATTCTGACACACCCCCATAGTCAAAGTGGGGTATGATCAGCACAAGCAAAGCAAAGCAAGCTCAAGGTGGATCACAATGTCACCACACATTCTGAGCACAAGTACAAGAAGCAACAGTTTAAGTTCACAAATGTAAGCAAAGCTAGAGGCTATCACAGAGGGCAAGTGAGGAGGAGGAGGCTGGACTAATAGGAAAGGAGAGAGGAGGCAACGGCGGAAGCTGCAGACACACGGGCAACAGGAGCGGCGCGCACTGTGGCTACCGGAGGCGCACCTCCGGACTACAGGAGTAACTGGCACCGCGGCTAAGACGAGCGGCAGGAGCAACGGACCCACGGGCGACTGGCGCAGCGGCATCACTGGGCTACCGGAAGCGCACCTCCGGACTACTGGCAATGCTGGCAACACGACGGCTACCTCCACCCAACCTCCCTCTACTGCCGCACCCCCCATTCACACACCCCCTGCTGCACCCCTAGGTTCACTCACACCCCACCCCCTAGCACCACTCCTTTGGCTCCCACACATCCACCCCCCTCAGCGGCAGTTGCAGCAGTGGGAGACAGAGGAGGAGGAGGAGCAGGGGAGTCCACACACCCGCCACCCCCTACTCGCCACCCCCAAACCCTAACACAGGGCAGGGCCGTAGATGGGGGTAAGGGAGGGTAAGGGGGGTGGGGGGGGGGGGGGGGGGGGGGGGGGGGGGGGGGGGGGGGCAGGGCCGCAACAGGGCCGGGGCAGGGCAGCTGCAGGGCAGGGCGCCACGACGAAGACGGAGGGCGCCCCTCCAGGGCGCCGTGACGGGCGACAGAGGGGGGGGGGCAACGTGCGGCCCCCCAGGTGCGGCCCCCCCCCCCGGTCGCCACGAAAGGCGACGGGAAAAGGGGGGGGGGGGCGGTGCGCGGGCCCCCGGTGCGCCGCGACAGGGTTGAGGGGGGCGGGGCCTGGGCAGGGTCGGGGCATGGCAGGGCCAGGGCCGCGACAGGGCCGCGACAGGGTCGGGGCAGGGCCACGACAGGTCCGGGACAGGGGGCGGCGCCGGGCGACGGGGCAGGGCCCGCGACGGGGGGCCGCGACGGGGGCCCGCGACGGGGGGGCCCGCGACGGGGGGCCGCGACAGGGCCGTTAAGGGGCCGCAAGGGGGGCCGCGTAGGGGGCCGCAAAGGGCCGGCAGAGGGGCCGCGAAGGGCCGCGACGGGTCGCGAAAGGGGGCCGCGAAGGGCCGCGACGGGTCGCTAAAGGGGGCCGCGAAGGGCCGCGACGGGTCGCTAAAGGGGGCCGCGAAGGGCCTTAAGAGGGGCCACTAAGGGCCGCGAAGGGGCAGCGACGGGCCACCAAAGGCCTCGTAGGGCAGGCGCGACGTGCGCCTCGGGCAGGTAAGGAAAAAAAAAATTGTAGTGGTGGGCCCTTAGGAAAGATTCGAACCACCTCTATACCATGTGAGAAAATTGAAGAATGAATGATCACTAGCAAACATTGGGATACATATAGCAAACCCTAACAGGGCTGTACTCACTACAGAGTACCCCAGTGCAGACTAGAGAAACATAATATTCTGACACACAGTGCACGAGTACCTGCAAATGCATCAAGCGAAAATTGCGAAAGCAAACAAATACACGAACATTCCATTCACACCCAAATGCAGTCGCACAAGCATACTCGTACAAACAGACGGCAGGATGTCGTGCAATGTGAATTTGCACCCAACAGGCTCGTCCCTTGTCCAAAAAGAGTGACACCGTTGCAGCAATCAAAGAGGAATGGTTGTCGATGGTAGAGCGGCAGTCCATGAGGCTGGTGAAGGTGCTGAAGATTGACCGTGGTGGTGAGTTCCTTGGAACCGATTTCAACAATTTTCTCAAAAGGAACGGCATCCGATACCAGTTGACCTGCCTTGGAACACCACAGCAGAACGACATTGCTGAGCGTGCCAACCGGACCATTGGCGAGGCGGGTAAGACCTTGTTGGGGGCTGCTGGGATGCCCTACAAGTTCTGGCCTGATGCTGTCCGCCATGTCATTACAGTCAAGAACCGAGTCTTGACGCATGTTGGCGAGAAACACTGGGTGCCGTATGAGCTTTGGCTTGGCAAGAAGCCAACCATTGAGATGCTGCGTGTGTGGGGCTGCATGGGTCTTGTGATGGTGCCTAAGGACCAGAGGCACAATCTTGAAGTGGCTGATGTATTGGGCTGTCCATCTTGGGATGGCTCCTGACTCAAAGGGGTGGCTGACGTGGGACCCCAAGAGCAAGAAAATGCTGGTCAATTGCGACGTCAAGTTTGTTGAGGACGTCATGTACAAGGACTAGCAGCTCCACCGCAGCGCCCCTATCTGCAGTTGTAGAGTAGTCTCGCCGTGGATGGGTAGCTTGCTACCGTCCACCATCATTGCCATGAACCAGGTCTCCTATGAGGACTCCCCAATTTTCTCCAACGTCCCGCGGTCGCACAGTGAGTGGCACGCACCACTGTCCACCATCGCCTGGAGGCATCGCCCTTTGCAGAGCACCTTGAGCAGTAGCAGTTGTTGCCGGTCCGAGTAGCCGTAGATGGTCTTGCTGATAGGACCATATGGTACATCAAATATATCATCCCTAGGTCCTGCGCTCGAAGCTGCAGACTCAATTTCGGTTTTCACCTGAGTAGGGTTAGAAGGATTTATCAGAGGCCGATTCAGCATCTCTTGTCCCTGCAACCTTCCTCTAAGCCTTTGCAACTATGTAGGATTCACCCGTGGAAAACGAAAAGCCTTATGACCGTGCTGCTGGGAGAGAATATGAACTCATCAGAACGCTCCACCTTTTTCAACGCTCCGGAGTTGAGTCCCCAACTTATATGGTACCGGTACTATTTCTAAAGGCCTCCAAACCACGAGAAGTGATGTTCTTAATTAAAATATCTTTATAGGACAACTTTAACAAGTTCTTACTCGTCGGGGTGTACGGCTGGAGTTTTCCGGTCGGTGCAGAGTCTTTTTTCGCTGGTTCTCCTTTTGTCTTGGCGAATTCCCGTTTGTGAGGTTTTTAATTCGCGTCATCGTTTCCTCCTTTTTTTCGCCCTCTCCAAAGTCGCCACGTTGTCGCGTTTTTGTTTTTTCCGGATCTGCGCGTCATTGCCAGTTTGATCCGCGGCTACTGGCGACTGCCGTTTTTATTACTTCGGAGGTGCCGCAATGTTGTCACCCTGCAACTCCGCACGCGTGTTTTTCATGTTCCAACACGCCAAGATACGATGTCCTGTAGTGCCACAAAATTCACACGTTCCATTTTTTGCTAGCCGCTGCTTTGCATCGACCTTGTCGATATCCATCTGGTCGGCACTCATGGATGGTGCCAACCGCTCATCGCCAAAGTTCCTGTTTGGTTGGTTGGGCCGTGTTCCGTGTTGACCATTGTTCAACGCGTCAAACCCTTCGGCTGCGCACACGATGTCTTTGTAGCTGTTGTAATTCGCCGCGATGACCTGTCGGCGGATTTTGTTTTTTTTGCCCTGCAGCATAGGCCTGACTTTTTTTGCCTTCAGTCAGGCTGGTATTCTTGTTGAAGAAGACCTCCATCCGCTGAGTGTACTGTGCTACACTCCCGAAATGTATCTGCCGGTGTATCTATTCGCGTGCCATATATGCAGTATTAATATGATCAAATCGTTCGATCAGTGCTGCCCAAAACTACGCCCATGTCCCTTCGCCATGGAAAATTTTGTTGTTTGCATAAATCCACTTAAGTGTCGGGTCGCGTAACAGTGTTGCTGCGAGTCGTATGCGCATCACGTTGTAGTCAGGGTCATGCATCCAACAGCTTCGAGGTAAATTTTGGGTACAGCTATGAATCGACGTCACTCCGTTTCAAGCTAGGATCAAATGCCTCCGATAGCCTTGGCATCGCTTCTTCGAGGTTGACTGTAGCTGCTACCGTGGTCGCACGTATATTTTTCGGCGTCGCCGCTGCTGTTGCTGCGGCTGCTGATTGGTTCGCTATAAGTTTTTTCGAGTCGTAGGAGTGCCGCACGTGTCTGCTCCTGCTCGGCACGTAAATCCACATTTTTTTGTACGATTTTATTGCCAATTTCCTCCACTCGGTGATTCGCAAGAAGTTTTTTAACGGCAATAAATCGTTTGGTGCGCTGGTCGACTGTTGCGAAACTAAAGGACTGTACTGATCATCTACCGCGGATACTGTTCTTGGTGCTTTTCTAAGAGTAAGTGCGTCACTTAGCGATATAAATGGTACTAAGAGTTAGAGTGTTACTTAGTCATATCAGTGGTACTAAAAATAAGTGCGTTACTTAGCCGTATGAGGGATACCAAGAGCAAGTGCGTTACCTAGCCATATTAGTGGTACTAAGAGCAAGTGCGTTACTTAGCAATAAGATTGGTACTGAGAGTACGCGCGTTACTTAGCGATATGAGTGGTACTAAGAATAATTGAGTTACTTAGCCGTATAAATGGCACTAATAGTTGGGTGCAAATTCACATTGCACGACATCCTACCATCTGTTTGTACGAGTATGCGTGTGCGAATGCATTTTGGTGTGAATGGAATGTTCGTGTGATTGTTTGCTTTCGCAAATTTTGCTTGAAGCATTTGCAGGTACTCGCGCAATGTGTGCTTCGGCACAACATTATACGCGCTATGAACAGTGCAAGCAGAAAGGACGAGCTCGCAAAGGTTCCCAAGATGGAAGCTTTGCAGTTCGGTTGAATTGATTGCGCAGATTCAGTTCTATCCAACTCGAAATTGTATTGTTTTGTTTGGTTGACTATAGTGTAGCAGGGCAGGCACTATAGGGGTACAATTTAGGTGAAGGTTGGATGTTGTTTGTCTGTATCTGCATGCTACAGGGCCAGGGGAAACCAGCGGAACCAGCATTTGGTTGGTTGGGCAAAGACAAAACATGTTCTGTTTTTAAGACCTGAACCTGGTTGTTGTTTTCCCGGGTTGGAAAAACAGAACCAGAGGTTGTTTACCAACCTACCACCTGCTGTTTTGTTCAGCCAGGTTGGTTCTGTTGCTTGGAATTATTTGGGATCATCCATGGTTGTTCCCAGGTTGATTCCCAAGGTCCTTCCTAGCTGGAACTATATATTCCTTCTCTGTTTGTACCTGAATATGTTCAATTTGATTCAAGCGAATTCCTTCCTTGCTGTATTTTCCTATCGACGCGGTTCAACGGCCGAATGCTACCGAGTCAATGCTAGTACGCTAGCACTATGACGCTAGGAGAACGCTGTCCGAGCCATAACTCTGCAATGGCAGAACTTTTAGCGAGGCAACTTGGCGCTTTTGAAAGCTCATAGAGTGAGCTTTGATATAGCGACTTCTCAGTTTAATCGGATCGACGGTCTGCACGGCACGCTGCGCGATGTTCAAGGTACTCTTGCTGTTTTGACTAAGTCCCTCTTGATCCCTCTCTCTACAAACTCGGACCCGAG